GGGGGGGGTGCTAGTAAGGTTTACAACAATACAAAAGCCTGCAACAAAACAAATTACTCTGTCAACAGTATGCGTTATAAGCAGAGGTTTTAGTTACAAAAACCTTTGGCCAAAAATCTGTAGAGGCCACACTGCCCCGTCAAGGCACCTCTGCAAAGTGTGGTCCAAACTCTATTTACGAGTCTCCAAATGGGAGCATATTAATGCAGTTGATAAATTAAATGCAGGTAGCCGCCTCCTCCTTAAAACCTTCAGGAGTAGGGCACTGGGGAAAAACCAAAACCAGGTAAAAAAAAAAACCTGCATGGAGATGGCCAGCAGCTTCACTGCCACAACTGCCATACTCTCCAGTGCTCTCCTGGGGGCCATATTTTGAATGGGCAAGTTTTGCGTGTGCCGTCACTGGAAAGTATGGTGGATTTCCTGCTAGCATCCAGTAAAGACTAGGTGCTCCTCAGTCCTGCAGAGTATCTGTGGATCCAGAGTCTGTGATGTGTCTGTTTTACCCTACCTTCCCTGGTTGTGGCAGCACATTGTTTCCGATCCATGCTGTGTTTGTTGTCTGGGGCATCTCTAGGAGCCTTAATATAGAAGATGTGCTCCTCGGGCAGTCAGGACGCACCATTCTCTCCCCCTCCGCTCCAGCTGTAGTATGTCCCTCGGTGTTCACATCTAATGCAGTTAACTGGACCAATGTAGACCAGGAAGAAGAGGCTGTATCGTCAGAAAAATTTCATTATTACTCTCACTGCGACGTTCGAGGCTGAATCTCTTTGATAATTGCGGGGAGACCCAGTGGCTGCTGCGGGGGGCACCACACGGTACAAACGATCGGGCGGCTGTTCAGACACCAGATTGATTGTAAGTTACACAGCAATCGCCTGCTGTTAAAAGCAGTACCAAGAGCATTGGTCTATAGACTTACTGCGGCCCGGAAGTGGTTAAAGTAACATTAAAGTCAATTTTCCCCCCTCCCCCCCAATGTAAATGCCAGCACTTACCTTAACTGATGTCTCTTAATCCGATCTTCTTCTTTCCTGATGTTTTCATCTGTCACTCCAGCGGTGCTGCGGGTCTCCGATCCAGAGCCGACTCCTCTGTCCTTGCTGGCACTTCCTGTCCCACGGTGTGTCTGCACGCGTCCGTAGACTTACCTTGTGTCTCTCCTCGTCTCCCGGCTGAAAATCCGAACTCCACATGCGCCCGCCCCAAGATGCTTTGCGGCCGCCTGAGCAGTTTCGGATTTTTGGACAGGAGCGCGCGGCATAGACAGGGTAAGTTTAAACCGCTGTTAAAGCTTTTTGTTTTTTTCCCAACTTTTTACATATATCTACTGCTTGCTAGCCTTATATATGCAAAAAAGCCAGAGGGTTTAATAACCCTTTAAGACTCACCTGGTCCCTGGAACGACCGACAAGCGCAGACTCCTGTCTCTCAGGCTGTCATTATATGCATACAGAGCGTGCCGGTTACTATTTAAACCGGCGCGCTGTGTGCAGCTTCTGAGAAGATACGCTATTAGC